TCAAGATTTGCTAATCACAGTTTCTTAAAAACAAAACTATTGAAAAATGTCCTAAAGCCTACCTTAATTGAAATTAAAGGGGAAAAAATGGTATAGGTTACATGACAGTTTGGGGCTTTTTAGAGGTATCAGCCTATACATGCTCATCTCCCCTGAACTTCAGTGCAAGTTACACTTTCCTGCATGAGCATGTGTGCATACACACATACACATTTACTATTTACACAAACTCAGTACTTTCCTCCCAGTAAATCAAATGATTAAAGTCAGTCTGAAGACTGTATAGTATATATAGAGATTCACCATGACAGAAGCATAGAATAGCCAAGTAAACCTTAAGATGGTTGTTAATAATATACCCTGCAGGTACACAGATGAATTATTCCTGTTATTTTTTCTTGAATTGTATGTATTCAGAAAGTTACAAACATTTAAACTGTTTGCACATAAAGGGAGAGAGAGCTTTCACCACTCTTGATAGTTTAGACATGTTTTGCTTCACAAAGAAATAATCTTTACAGATTCTGGGCACATTATGCATTGAACGATTTACTGTTCAACCCAAAATGTGTGTGTGTCTTGCCCAGGAGAATATTATTTGTGATCCATCTTGAGTTACATTTGGGAAATGCATACAAGGTTTTCCTGCTTTTTGGATGGTGAAAACAACTTTTGTTTTCTTGGAATCCAGGTGAACTTCATAAAACACAAACAGCCAGAGTAGAAATTCTATGGCAAAGTGTTGCAACAATTATATGCCTGGGAAGGACAAGAAAGTTTTAAATTTTGTTAAATGTATACACACTCCTGTTCAAGTTTTCAGATACAAAGCATATTTCTGCCTGACAATTTGTATGTGTGGTCTTTCCCTAGAAAAGTCTTTTTATGTTGGTTTCTTTTGCAAACTTAAAGTTAAGTAAATGTGTCATTTTAGAATGAGATGACTTTCAAGGAGTGGTAGGTATGAACTTTCTGAAAATTGTTCCAGCTGCTTCCTTTTTTAATCCATTCAATTTTAAAAGATTTTGCTTATAAAATACTAGCAATGGAATTTGACAATGGTAAAAAGTGATAGCTACTAAATAACGTATGATGTTAGAGGATGCAAAAGGTTGTAGGCTCACTTTTTTTAGTTATGTTCCCCTGGGTACTGTTACTTCAGTTAAAGGAAATTAAAGTAACTTATTGCATCTATAAAGCTTGTTGAGTAGAGGTTACAGATATGCTGAAGATTTTATGGGTTCTGGGAGAGGTATGATTACATTGGTTCTGGTGACTGATTCAAGATTTGTAAAAGGAAAATTAGGTAGTTTAGATCTTGATTTCATCTGATGGTTGTGGAGAGTTGTGCAAATTACAAAGCATTATTTTAAAATAATATAAACCTGTAATATCAATCTTTGCATGCATTCAAGTTACTGACATAAATAAAACCATCCATAAAAAAAAAATCACAAGAATCTCCTAAAAACCGGAAGTGTCCAGGGTTTACGGACTGATAAGCAGGGATCCTGGTTTTCTCTGTTTAAAAATCACAGACTCTGATTAAAACCCCCAAACCCCATGTTTTCCCACAATTAAAATGAAACACCACTATATATACAGGCATCAGTTGAACACAGTTTTTTATTGATATATTTACAATTCTAAAGCAATTTGGAAGCCAACCAGTACCTCACTCCCTATAATAAAATACATTCTAAATAGTATATCGATATATTTTGGTGTTTGATATTGGGTTATTTATCATGGAAAATCAGAGTTCCCTCATCCCCTTCGCTCACCTGGGTGTGGGTCCAGTTGTGGTTTTTCCCCACCCCTGCCCCACCACTGCTGTGTGGTGCTGAGCAGCCCTGATATGCCAGTGCCCTGCCCATGCCATTACCCCTCACTCTCCCCCCCCCCCCAGCCCTCCTGGCCCCTCACTCCCGACTCACTGCCCCCTAGCCTGCTGGTGCTCCTCACTCCCCACCCACAGCCCACCATGCATTTTTCCATGGCAAACAGAAAACCAGGATCCCTGATGATAAGCAGTTAATACACAGGATTGAGATAGAAGCCTGTTATACTACTCTTCCCACTAAAATGGAGAGACTACAATATTTTGCTTGCCTGTTAAGATATGCTCTCTCCATCCTAAAACCACAAAATTCACTACAATTCTGTATCAGTGGCGGCCAACCTTTTTTGGCAAGGATACCACAAATTAGCCCCCCATCCTCTCTCCATGTGCCACTCCAATCCTTCCTTACATATGAATCAAGATCCCTTGCCTGATCTGCAGCTCTGCTTTCTACTCCCAGCCCTATACTCCATGCCCAATCTGCTGCTCTGCTTCCTTCCCTGTGTTCCCTGCCCAAATTTGTTGCTTTGCTTTCTTCTTCCCACCCTGTCTGCCACTGTGCTACTTGCCCCTCTCTGATCAGCTGTGTGCCGCACACAGAAGCTGTCTGTGCCACTTAATGTGAATCATGGCACAAGTGGGCCACCCCTGATCTATACTACCCTAACTAGGCCTTGATACGAATTGTGTATACCTACTTTGTCTCTATAATTTTTATCAGAAATAATATCCCAGGGATACCCGTCCACCCTGTATCATTAAAATTATCTTCCACCTCATAGTTTATGCCATACCAAAGTACAAAAATGAAGGATGTGAAGAATTATGAAAAGTTAAAGCTTAGGCAGGAAAAAAGATCCTTATATTATTAAAGATTCTTGTATTATTAATATTATTTATTTTAAAATAATTAAAAGATTTATAATAAGTTTTGAAGTGATGCCAACTGGTAACTTTAATTCCATTAACAAAGTTATATTTGCAAACAGCTACTTCTTCAATGTGGAGTTTGTCTTACCAGTTCCCACTGATCCACTTTAGCAGCATTTTTTCTATACAACTGTAAATCGAAACTTTGAGCCAAATGTTACCCATGCAATTTGGAACAAGCAGACAAGGTAGAGTTGGCCCACTAAGCTTAAATGGGTCAAGTTCCACTATTAACTAACCCATCTGAAGCTAAAAGTTCATAGGTAGCATTAATATACCAATAATAAGCTGGTATGTTGAGCCAGAAAATATCTGTTCATTAGATATTTTTGTTGGACAAATAATATTGCTTAAAATGACTTATCTGACTTATCATACATAAATGGGTCTGTTGGAATGCATCGTGGTAATGACCAGAGAGTTTGCCCTCTTGTCTGAATTCATTCCTTCTCATTCACGTGGCATAGATATGCTTTCACAGCAGACTATGATTCATATGTAAGGAATGTTTGTTAGATATCCACACTGAGCCTGTAGACCACAGTTCATGTTTTCATTTGCAGCAACCTCCAGATTCATATTTCTCACATGTAGTCAGCCTGCTTTGATAAGAGAGTGAATTGTAGGTTTCGACATGGTACATAACGTACACCTGCGCTTACCACTTTTTATATCACATCTCTACATACATGCATGTATTAATGTGGTCAACGTTGCAAATAAGAAATGTTCTATATTTCACCTCCAATCTGACAGGATATATAGCATAAACCAGCCTGTTGTTTATACAAACATTTTTGCTGCACAACTAAAAATAAAAATCTATATTTTCAAGACAGAGAAACACCAGGGTTTCAAGACTGCATGAGACAGGTTTCAGCCTCTGAACATGCATAGCTTTACACACATGTGCTTAATTTTATATGTATGTGTAAATCCTTGCAGAACCAGGGCCTTGCACTGTAAGATCATGCTTTAGAGAGCAGGTCTGTGCACTACCCATTTTTACACAGGGCCTTTCAACTGCCTTTATTTTGCTGCAAATACCTCCTCAAACTGATAATGGAAATCAGTGAGTAAGAGGAAGAAGAGCAGAGTGACCACCACAATTTATTAACCGCCACTTTATTCATTCCTTCCCTTTCCTGTCTACATTCATCACAACTATGTTCATTGACATGCATCCAAAAACCTCTTCAGAAGAACAAAAGGTAGAGAGGAAGGATATGTCAAAAGGGAAGTGACATGAGAAGCAAGAAAAGAAAAGGCAAACAGAGAAAGAAGTGGGAAGCAAATAGACAAATGAGGAGGAGAGTTTTAGTGGTTCAAAAAGAGAGAAAAAAAAAAAACAGTTAGGTCTTCATTCCCGAGAATGAGACAGACATCTTTTTCTCCCGCACAAAAATTAATAATTGGGAGGAAGTAGCAAAAACGTAACTTTTCAAAAACAGAACAGGAATCCTTATGTGTTCTCCATATGACAAAAGAGTCCTGGATAAATTTAAATACATCTCCAGAAATGATGGGGAATTGGTAGAGGGAAATCTTATTGCCCTTCTACCATGACAACCTGTGAAACTGGTGAAGGCTCTAACCTATGAAGCACCACATGATTTGGGTCTTGTGTATTTTACAGTCTCTCTCCCACATGTTCTACATACATAGTTTCCATTAGCATCCAAGGGCTAGATCAGTCTGAGCTGTACACGATTTTTAGGTAAAAATCAGAAAAAAAACTGGGACCATATTAATGCAGTCATAAATGAGCTGCTCTAAAGTGAAACATCATAACTAGATGAAGAAAGGGGCATCAGCCAATGAAAAATAAATCTTTAGTGTAAGTTCTACAACATTTATACTTACTGAATCGCAGAAGGTAGGTCAATTTTTTACTAGAGTGGTCACCTCCTACCCTGTTCACAATAACAGTTACCATTTTACCATTTCTCTTTCTACTTATAAACACATAGCACCCATATGGCAGCTTCCAATTGTTTGCATAAAAAAAGCAAGGATAGGACAGCATTTAAATCTTTAAATAATTAAGGATTTACCTTTTCAGTATTTCAGGACCTAGAAACTAAAAGATCCAATGCTGCATAATAATTCCAATACCAGGGCTACCATTGAGGCTCAGAAGACAATGCAGCTCTGTTTAATTTAGTGAAAAAATAGCAAGTAAAAATCATTCAAAGCCATAAATCAGAAACTGAATGTTACAGCTTACCTTAGTATTCATACAAGATTTTCCTCGCTTATATTCTTTATGACTTGCTCTTTTATCAAGCTTGTTCCACAAAGCCTTGGCCTTCCAGCTGGTAATTTTTGACTTCAGTTTAATATAAAAGTTTCTATTGTCCAACGGATCTAGTTCAAGTTGACGGGTCAGAATATTGAAGGCCTGAATAGTACCTTTGCATGTTGATGCCTGTACAAAATTTTCAAATATATGGCCAGCTTGGGTGCATTTTTCATCGTCATTTTCCCCCATGTTCTGAGAAGAGTATGCAGGAAGAATTAAACTTGAGCTCTGAGGCTATGGTATAGGTGATGGATACTAGCACATTCTTCTAAGCACAATATTCCTAGAAAAGATAGACAAAGGACAAGTTAATGCATTTTCAGCAAAAAACAAAATTTAAAAAGGTAAACTGAATTTAAAGGCAACTAGACACAAGCTTCAAGCTAAAAGATATGATGCAGCATTGTTACGCAACTGAATGCGGGTAGAGAATAACAACATAAGTACACAAATATTTACATAATATATGAATAAATTATGACACCTCAGGAATGCTACACAATTTTTAACCTTATGAACAATCTATGTACTCACATTCACTGATTTCAAGGGCGACTTCTTAACCTCCTCCCTTCCTCCCATCCCTCTGTCCTAATGGCAACCATGTTCTGCCTTAATCCATTAGCTAATAATCAAGACCTTCTTGTGTGCAATTCCTCAGGTACTTTCATCCATAATTTTAGTGAAATCTCTATACCTCTGAGCAATTTCTAGTCTCTAGACTTATTAAAAGATTTTGGCCATAGGTCATCACTATGTTATTTTAAAGATTTTCAGTTAGATATGTCCAAAAGTTAGGGGCATTGGTAGAACACAAACTAAGCCAGAACAATTCAGAGTCAACATGAGGGGCCTGATCTTATCATGAGCTGCATACCCAGATGCAGAACAATTACAGGGTGAAAGGAGATATGATGACTTGTTATTCCAGAACTGAAGCCCCAAATAAGGGGCCTACCCTATTCTTCTGACCTCTATCCTAAATAGAAAAATAAAGTGCAATGAAAGTAATCCTACTTCCTTTGTATAACATCATTTAAAGGGATTAATTTACAATATAGAGCATCTTCCCTTAGCATGTATTGATAGTACAGAATAGTGACCTTATGTGCTCTTAGCTTCACAGGTCCATTCCTAGTAACCTGACCACTGACAAATTAGATGGTCTATTTAGGATAAGTACTGTTAAAGTTTTGAGAAAGCAAAAGCCACTCTAATAAGAACTAAAATAACTTTCTTGGGTCACTCCCATATTCTAGGTTAACCTTTGTCTGAATTTCAGACATATCCATTAAAGTCAGCCAAGGTCCAACAGTTTAAAAAAGCTATTTATTTTTCCAAGAGAATGATGATGGATTATGTACTTGCTTAGCCTTGGAGAAAACCTACCTAGATTCAAATCCAAAATTTTAAATGGGTCAGTCATATATCTTTTATCCTGCTATTAAGGAATTAACTACCATTCCAAATGCTCAACACCAAACCAATGCTTGCTTATTCTCCCACATAATTAGTTATTTTACTTGGAACATCATCTATTGTGTCTTTTAGATTTAGAATAAATTGTTGAAGGGCCTTTGAAGTTACATTTTTTAAATTTAACACTGTTCACAAACATTGGGAACAGCCAACATAATCAATGTATTTAAATACAGAAGAGAACTATCTTGTAAATCTTTTTGCTCTTTGAACACTGATGAGTATATGCATCCTATAAAAAAAAAATCCTGTGGAGAGAAACAAGGAAGTACTTGGAACACTTATATAGTGTGGCCATGCTTAAAATAAATATCCCTTCCCTGTACATCCTCATTCTGTTGTTTTAGGTTTAACTACATTTCCAACATTGAGCGTGTTTTTTTCTTACACCAAATGTCAAGACTACATTCATGTTGCCAAGAATAAGTCAGGCAATCTTTGTTTTGCACTCTGAATTCCTCATCTGTGGCTAGTTCCTTGTCCTCCTCTGAAGGGATTCATGAAGGAAAATACACTTTCTTTCTCTCTACTCTCTGAGGGTTTAATTTTTTCAGGAATCTAATCACCAGGGATTCCTACTCAGTGGGATTTGAGGATATTCCACATCTGTGCAAGTTCAAAGCTCATTAACTGCTAAGTTTTCAAAATGAATTTACTGTACCCAGAAATCAGCAATAAGGACATTCATAAAATACAATAAATGAGTATGACTAGAACAATAAAACTGGTCGGTCTCTGATGCAGCTACCAAGTTCCTCTAAAAACACTTAATTGCTTTCCCCCTCACTCACACTGTTGCAACTAGCCCCTCTAGTATACCGCCAGACCTCCACTGCCCCCCCACCCCACTTTTTTTCCCCCTTCTGTTAGCATTTTTTAATCAACATGCTTTCCTGCACTGCTTAGCCAATAGAAGCTACCCTTCTGACAATCAGCCATGTCCTCACCCTCTCTTCAACAGTGGCTTGTCATCATCCCCTATACTCTACTTCCTGGGAACCCAAAAATGAACAGAGTCATTTTCAGATAGACTGAGTGGCTCCTGGCTTTCTCCATTCTAAGCAACATGTTCCAACCTTTAAAAAGCACGGAGAAAAAAAATCTCCTTCATCAAAAGCAAAAGATGAGATGACAATTTAATCTATCCTCATTGCCAACTCTGTAAGTTTATGGAGACCATAAAAACAAACCTAAAAACTCCTGTCTATAAAGTCCATTAAAAAAATTCAGCTATTTGTAAAACACTAAGCGACCACAGCTTGACAGAAACGTCATCTCTGAACAAAGCTAGTTGCTGAAGGACAGACAGGGCCCAGCAATACCACCTGAGGTCTGAAAAGGAATGCAGCACCTTGAACAAAGCATTCTCTCAGGGCTTGAAGCCCACAGCCATGTGCTGCTGCTGCATCCCACTGCTGCCAATAACACTGCTCATCTTGCAAGCAGGCAGAAAGCAGTCCTTTGCAGGGGCGGGGGCAAGGCGGGAAGTGCCTGTGCCAGGATGGGGAGTAAGGCTGGTGGATGTAAGGCTGGGGGAAGAAGGAGCACGGTATGTTGTAGGAAGTGATCAAGCGTTTCAAGGTGTGGGAATGAATAAGGAACCCATTGGATAGGAGCAGCATGGTATAAAATCATTGCTGCAGTCAGTGTTGACATCCCAAGAATTTTTTGTACTGATAATTTGCAAAAGACTTTTTTATTGACAATCATTTTCTTCACTGTGGTTGGTCTTAAACATTTAATTTGAACCAGATCTTTGTCTAGGGCCTAGCATCTATATTATGTGAAATATATAAAAGTGTTTGGTCATCAATAACAAGTCTGCAGATTGTCTACAAAAATAACTAACTAAAAAAAAAAATATATATATATATCAATCTTGGCTTGGCAACCCTGCTCCTACTATTTATTTGCAAAAGAAGGGAACCAGAGCAGGAACAAGGCACAAGCGTGGTAGTGAGAAACAGGGTCAGTTTGATTCTTACAAGAATGATGCCGATTTAGATAAGCAAAGCGATGTGACAAGCAGCACTGGTTGGCAGCCAACTCCTTCCACCTTGAGGTAAGAGCTTTATCAGAGCAAATTTCACCCAGTACTCTAACAAAACCCTTCCCCCCACAACAACTACAGGGCTGTTTCACAAGAGAAGGCCATTGATATCCAAAATACCCCTACAGATATTTAATAGGGAAAAAATTGAGTGGAATCTAAGCAGAGACATTTGCTTATCAGTTGAGCATTCTCCTGTCAGAGGTCATATTCTTCAAAAACGGCCACAATTTGCGGTTGAAACAGCATCATAGAGTCTAACAACTCTGGTCACGGTAGATTTCACATTGCTATTGAAAACACTGTGACTCTCTTTTGGCCTGAACATTATGTTGACAGATGACAATGATGAAGATAGTGCTTTGAGAATACACAGTGTATAGAAGAGTAAATGCTGATGCTCTCCAGGCAGCTTGCTCCAAGTACTCACTACTATTCCACTGGGACACATGCTGAGCTCACCAGACATAATACAGTAATGTCAGATAGGGAATCCTGTTTTTTCTGGATTTTTTTGTTGGAAGACAAGGATATTCAAAAAATGCATGTTTCAAAATGAAAATAAATCATGTCTTAAATCATGCACATTACATTGTTCTATTTTTAATAGGTGAAAACATACTTCTTGAATGAATTGCAAAAAAATTGAATTCCAAGCATTTCAATATTATCAATCTTGATTCCAGATTCAATTGTTTGAATTCTTTCATGTTTACTGACAGTAAACTTTTATATTAAGACTTTAGTTAGGCATGCAGAACATCATGCATTTATTGTTTTTAAGCTTAAGCAAACATTATCAAAGGTACAGGAATGGATTCTTCAGCATCTGTAGTCATCTTTAACTTTGGCCTTTCTCTACAGCTTTTTAAAACAGACACGAGCTGTTATACTCCTTCTCTAGCTCTGACTGTACTATGCTAATCACAGAACCAGGAACAGTCAATATCTGTTCTGAAAAAAAAAAAAAATGTCTCTTGCCTGACAGGCTTGAAAGCTTGGTACCATAACAATTATGCTTATAATAAAAGATGGCAGCTCTGAAAGACTTTCTAAACTTTCCAAATTAGGTTTTACTAATGTTAAATATTTTGTTTTCATGGTAAGTAATTTAAGTAGAAATATATACTTATGAAGGAAAATTACTCTTTTTTCATGTTTTCCTAGAACTCAACATAATAAGACAAGCCTACCCAAGAAACAATTCTAAAAAAAAAAGTACATCATTTCTCATGAAACTTAGAACATTATTCCCTTATAAAACTAGTTAAAATATATATTATAAAATAACTATAAAATAGCAGTGATCCTCAACCAAAGTGTAAGGGCTCAGGTTCCTCCCTGCTTGGCCACTGCCCTGCCTTAACTGCCTGGCCCCTCTGCACAGAGGTGAGCACTGCAATAAATCAATTTTTGAAATGGTCAGTTCACAAAAGTTATGGAGGGGATCCCTGAATCAAACAAGGCATGGGTTGAGCCTAAAAAGGCTGAGAACCACTGCTAAAGAATCATAACTAAAGTTGCTCAAAATATTTGTTTCCATGTTAAATTTGTGCACATAAGAACAATGGCCAAATATATTTTTGAACAGTCTCACAAACTTGTTTTTTTGGTTTTGTTTTTTTTTAACTAATAGAAAGATTTACGGAGTTTTCTATATGTATTTTTAAAGAAATCTAATTTCCACGATATTCCTGCAAAATAACTTTTGAGGCCAAGTACAGAAATTAAAACAGTTCTTACTAAGATGTTCT